GGGAGCCTATAAAAGGCCGTTCCTGGGGAAAGGGGCTGGGCGGAGGCCTGGAGGGGGCGGAGACTTCAGGGGTGGGGCCAAGAGGGAGCCAGTAAAAGGCAGTTCCTGGGGAAAGGGGCAAGGCAGAGGCCTAGAGGGGGCGGAGACTTCAGGGGTGGGGCCAGGAGGGAACCTATAAAAGGCAGTTCTTGGGAAAAGGGGCAGGACGGAGGCCTGGAGGGGGCGGAGACTTCAGGGGTGGGGCCAGGAGGGAGCCTGTAAAAGGCCGTCCCTGGGGAAAGGGGCAGGGCCGAAGCCTGGAGGGGGCGGAGCCTTCAGGGGCGGAGCCAGGGGAGCCCCACAGCCCCAGGAACACCAGACCAAGCCAACGCCCCGCGCTGCCCTCCGCAGCCCGCAGGTGCAGCACCTTCTACAACCTGCCCACAGAGGAATCTTTACTGCGGAAGATCTGCCACAAAGATGTCTGCAGATGCGCCGAGGGTGAGACGCGCCTCCGTGCTGGAGGGCTGGGGCCACCAACTGGGGGTCCAGGAGTTCGTCGCCACCTCCAGGCGGACAGCTGGGCCGAGTTTGGACAGAAGGCGAGGCAGGGGTCCAGCCTCGCTGGCGCAGGTGGTAGCCTTCTGGTCGGCCGTGCTGGAAGCCACAAGGCTGACCCCAGGATCGGATCCCGTGTTGCACTCTGCCCGCACCCAAGATCCTGCCTAGGAGGAGGGCTGGGGGAACCAAATCACTGCATGCCCAGCCGCTGTCTGGTGTCCCTCCCTCTCTCTCTTTCTCTCTTATACATGTGCACACACTCCATTAAAAGAAAGAAAATTGGGACCAGCAGGTGGCGTGGTGGTTAAGGTCTGGAATCCCACATGGTCAACTGTGGTGGAGTCCTAGACACCGCGGCTTGAAAATCACAACGGGGTGTGTGTGTGCGCGCATGCCCAAAGTCCTGGAAGAGAATGGAGAAGGGATTGCAGCGTGGTCATCCCCCCTGTGGGGGTGATTTCTCACTTTCCTTCTCTCTGTCTTTGTCTCTCCAGCGAGTATTGTGACCTGTTGGGGGGAAAAAAAAAACCTTAAAAAAAAATAAAACTTAATTTTTTTAAACTTTTGCCTTAGGGCGCTCGCTGGAGAGACAGAGAGAGAAACAGAAAGTGAGAAATCATCCCCCCAGGGGGGATGGCCATACCACAATCCCTTCTCTTCCATTCTCCTCTTGGGATTTTGGGCACGCACGCACACACACCTGTTGTGAGTTTAAGCTGCTGTGTCCAGGACTCGAACTGCTACATGGAGTCCAGCGATGTAACCATTATGCCATCTTCTGGCTCCTAAAATTAATTTTTAAAAAAAGAGAGAAAGAGAGGTGAGCTACCCTGTAGTATGGTGGTTAAGCTGACTGGATCCTTCGTGGCTGACTTTGTCCTATAGCAAAAATGTGTCTTTATAAAAATAAAAGAGGGTCAGCAGATGGCGTGGTAGTTAAGGGTACTGGACTCCCACATGGTTGACCATGGTTCAAGTCCCAGACCTGGAGGCTTTCTCTCTTTTTCTCTCTCTCACTCTAACCCTCTCCTCAAATTAAAATAAATAAATAAAGATAAGTAAAATAATTTTTTTTTGGAGAGGTTTTTGCTATAGGGCGCGTGTGCTTGCCAAACAGAGAGAGAGACAGAGAGACAGACAGAAAGTGAGAAATCACCCCCCAGGGGGGATGGCCACACTGCAATCCCTTCTCCTCCATTCTCCTCTCGGGATCTTGGGCACGCACACACACGTGCCCGGCGTGAGTTTTAAGCCACCGGGTTTGCGAAATGCGGTCAACTACGTGGGAGTCCAGCGACATAGCCATTACGCCAACTGCTGGTCCCAGTAAAATAATTCTTAAAGAAGAATTATTTTATTTAACTTTATGCATTATCCATTTATTTATTTATTTTAAAATTCTTATTTTATTGAAATTTATTATTTATTTATTTTAATTTGACCAGAGAGAGACAGAGAGTGAGAGAGAAGAGGGGTAGTGAGAAAGTCAGGTCCAGGACTTGAACCACAGTTGGCCATGTGGGAGTCCAGTGCCCTTAACCACCACACCACCTGCTAGCCCCCAGATAAATAAAATAATTCTTTAAAAAAAAAAGAAGAAGAAGAAGAAGAGTCAAGAAAAAGACCAACAGAGAGACAGAGTGGGGAGCTCTACACCCCAGAAAGGCAGACCCTGAGACCTGAGGGCGGCAGACAGGAAGAGGGAGGTGGGGCGGATGGGAGGAAGCCCCCTCCCCTGGTTCAGCCAGAACAGCGACCTTCCTGGCCTTCCAGAACAGTGTCCGGCCCAGAAAAAGGACAGTGACCGGCTGAAGCAGGAGGACCTCCATGCACTGGCCTGTGAGGTGGGCGTGGACTTTGGTGAGTGTGGGGACGGGCAGGGGGTGGGCGGGAGTCCGGCTGCGGACCACACACCAATGCCAGGGCTCTGGTCCCCTGCCTTCCTCAGTGTACAAGGTCCGGCTGGAATCAGAAGAGGCCGCTGCCTCCAACCCATACATCTATTACACCATGCAGCTCCAAGCCATCATCAAGAGCGGTAAGTCGCCGGCCAGCAGGTGGCGTGGTGGTTGAGGCTCTGGGCTCTCACATGGCCGACCACGGTTCGAGTCCTAGACCTGGGACTTCCTTTCTTCCTTTCCTTCTCTCTCTGGTGAGCTCACATGCTCTAGAGCAAATTTAAAAAAAATAATAATAATAGGGACTAGCAGATGACATAGCAGTTATGTTGCTGGGGCCAATAGAGGTTTGAGTCCCGGATCTGGTGGCTTGAAAAAATCACATCAGGTGCATGAGCGCGTGTGCCCAAGATCCTGGAAGGAGGGACCAGCAGGTGGTGTGGTGGTTGAGGGTGCTGGACCCACATGGCCGACTGTGGTTCGAGTCCTGGAACTGGCGGCTTGCTTTCTCACTGTCCCTCCCTCACTCTGTCCCTTTCTAGTCAAATTAAAAATCAATCAATAAAATAAAGTTAAAAATAATCCCTATTCTTTTAAAAAACAAATCCTGGAAGAAGAACGGAGGAGAAGGGATTGTAGCATGGCTATCCCCTCTGGGGGGTGATTTCTCACTTTCCCTTTCTCTGTGTCTGTCTCTCTCTGGTGAGTGCACATGCCCTAAGGCAAAAACCTCTAAAAAATGTTTTTAAATAGTAATCATTAATAAATAAAATAATAATTAATAAATAATAATTATTTTAAAAAGTAAAATAAAAGGAGTGATATGTCCCAGACCAGTTCTGTGGCCTGGTGGTTAAGGAAAACCAGACCTCACATGACTGATGGTGGTTCGAATCTCAGTCCTGGCAGCTTTTAAATCATGCCAGCCACGTATGCATGCAAGCCCCAAATCCCAATAGGATGGAAAGATAGAGAAAGGATCGTGGCATGACCATGCCCCATTGGGGAGGGTTCTTTCTCCCTGCCCCCCCCATATATATGTGTGTGTGTGTGTGTGTGTGTGTGTGTGTGTGTAACAGTATGGCCTCCGTGGCAGAGAAGGGAGTGTGGGCTGCCCTGTGGGTCCTGTGGAGGTAGAGCCAGGCCTGGGCAACTCACGTGTGGGGTCTCTTCCAGGCACTGACCCTGCTGTGCCCCTCAGCATGAAGAAATTCGTCACCCACGCCCGCTGCCATGACTCCCTGGGGTTGCAGGAACAAGAGTCCTATCTCGTCATGGGCCAGATGTCAGACCTGTGGAAGATCAAATCCGAGTGCGTGGTGGGGAGACTCAGGCCTGGACCCCCTTTCCTACCCCAGCCCAGCCCTGGTTCCTCAGTTTCTGCTAGGCTTATGAGCACGAGGTCTCGGATTTCAGGGCTGCCCTGCGTGAAGGTCCAGGCTGTGCCCTGCACACCTCCAAGCCCTAACAGTCACAGGGAACCGATGTGGGTATTCATCACCTCCGTCTTCCACCAGAGGGCAGAGACGAGCAAAGACCAGGCACCAGCAGATGGTGTAGTAGTTAGGTCGTTGGACTCCCACACAGTTGACGGTGGTTTGAGTCCTGGACCCGGCAGCTTAAGACTCACGCTGGGCGCATGTGCATGCATGCCCCAAATCCCGAGAACATAATGGAGGAGAAGGGATTGCGGCATGGCTATCCTCCCTGGGGGCTGATTTCTCACTTTCTGTCTCTCTGGCAAGCGAGAGTAAGAAAGTGCCTTAGGGCAAACATCTCACTTAAAAAAAAGAGGGGGACCAACAGATGGCATACTGGCTACGTTGCTGGGCTCCCATGGAGTCGACCATGGTTCAAGTCCTGGACCCGGTGGCTTAAACTCACGCTGGGCACGTGTGCGTGCGTGCCCAAGATCCTGAAAGGAGAATGGAGGAGAAGGGATTGCAGCGTGGCCACCCCCCCTGGGGTGTGATTTCTCGCTTTCTGTCTCTCTGTCTCTGTCTTTCTGGCGAGTCCATGCACCCTATAGCAAAAACCTCAGTCCCCCTAAAAAAAACAGCAAAGACCAGAGAGGCCTTGTAGGACGGTCACTACGGGCTGAGTCTTTGGAAGGGACAAAGCAGGACAGGTCCCCAGGTTCCCGGGACGCCGGGATGTCCTCACCTTTCTTGCGGTCACTCTCACCTGCAGTTACGCGTATGTTCTGGGCAAGGAGACGTTCATCATGCCTTGGCCAGCAGACGGGGACGTGACCAAGAAGGACCTTCTGGGCCAGCTGGATGGCTTTTCGGAGTACATGACCACCCATGGCTGTGAGACCTGACACCGTGAGGCCTCTCCCGCCCTCGCGGAGCTCTCTCCAAGCAAGTCTGGGCCACGGGGCTTTATCCCTAATAAAGAGCTCACAATGTCGTACTCAGTCTCAGGACTTTGGTTTCAGCCCGTTTCCATTTGAGAAAGACAGACACGCAGAGAGAAGGAAAGTGAGAAAAGCAAGCTACCAGGTCCGGGATTCGAACCCTGGTCAGCCATGTGGGAGTGTCCAGCACCTCAACCACCATGCCACCTGTTGCCTTCCCCCCCCCCAAAGAAAAAACTTTTATTTTAAATAATTACCTAATTTTATTTATTTTCATTATTTCTTTGAATTTGCTATAGGGCATGTGCACTCACCCAGAGAGAGAGAGAGAGAAAGGGAAAGTGAGAAAGCAAGCCGTCAGGTCTGGGACTCGAACCACGGTCAGCCATGTGGGACTCCAGCGCCCTTACCACCACACCCCTGCTGGCCCCCCAAATATCTCCTTTTCAAAGACATCTTTGTTATTGTTTTAAATTCATCATCAAGCACATATGTATGCATGAGGCAGAGAGAGAGAGACAGAGAAAAAGAGAGCGAGAGACACAGCATCCACAGGGCTTGGCTGTGACACACATAATCCCCTTTCTCCAGTCCCCCAGTCCGCCAGGATCCTGGCTCATGCATGTGTGTGTCTGCCATGTTTCCAAGCCAGCCAGGCTGTGGGTTCGACTCCACAGTCAGGCATGCTGCCGGCAATAACATCTAAAATAGACCCTTCCCATCACCCCTTCCCCCTTTCCCCTCCTTTTCTTTTCTTTTCTTTTCTTTTCTTTTTTTTCTTTCTTTTCTTTTCTTTTCTTTTTTTTTTTCACTAGAGGGCACTCTCTGCTCTCCAGAGAGACACAGAAAACAGAGAGAGAAGAAAACATCTCCCAGGGGGAACGGTCTCTCCACAACTCTTTCTCCATCTCTTCAGTCTGTTGGGATTTTAGGCACACACGCACATGAGCCTCGTGTGTTTTCCAAGCTGCCAGGTCTGGGACTCAAACCGTGCCGTTGGCCATGTGGAACCCAGCTGGATTAACCGCCATGTCTCCTGCTGGCCAAGGAGACGTGTCTTTCCCCGTGACTTCCCTGCCTTTCAGTTACACCTGCGTTGAAAGCATTCCCAGCACTATTCATGATGGCCAGGATATGGCAAGCAGCCGTCAAAGAGAGGGGGATCCTTGACCAGCAGTTGGCGTAATGGCTATGTCGCTGGACTCCCATATAGTCGACTGCGGTTCGAGTCCTGGACCCGGTGGCTTAAACTCACAGCGGGCGCATGTGCGTGCGTGCCCAAGATCCTGAGAGGAGAATGGAGGAGAAGGGATTGCGGTGTGGCCATCCCCCCTGCGGGGTGATTTCTCGCTTTCTGTCTCTGTTTCTCTCTTTCCAGCGAGCTCACACACCCTATAGCAAAAAGAAAGAAAGAAAGAAAAAGAGGGAAATCTGTGGGGCTGGCAGGTGGCGTGGTGGTTAAGGTGCTGGACTCCCACATTGGCCAACCACGGTGTGAGTCCCAGACCTGGCCCTGCTTTCTCACTTTCTCTCTCTCTTTCATCAAATTAAAACATAATAAAAAATAAAGGGGACCAGCAGGTAGTGTGGTGGTTAAGGCGCTGGACATTCCCATATGGCCAACCATGGTTCAAGTCCTGGACCTGGTGGCTTGCTTTCTCACTTTCTCTCTCTCTGACTCTCTGGTCAAAATAAAAAATAAGTAAATGAGTAAATAAATTTTAAAAATATTTAAAAATAAATAAATAAATAAAATGGAATGCAATCATTCTCTAATTTAAAAAGAAGAAGAAGGGGCTGGCAGGTGGCATAGTGGTTAAAGGCACTGGCCTCCCATATGGCCGACTACAGTTTGAGTCCCGGACCGGGCAGCTTAATTTTTCACTTCCCCTTTCTTTCTCTGTCTTTCTCTGGTCAAATTAAAAAAATAATAACAAATGGAATTAAATAAGTAAATAATTCTTTTCAAAGGAAAAAATAGGAGGAGGACGGAATCCTGTCATTTGAGGCTCGGTGGGTAAGCCGTGTTCCCATGGGGCCCTGAACAACCTGCCCCGACAGGAGGACCTTAGGTTAGGTGAACTAAGCCCGGCACAGGGGAGAACAACACCCCCGTGTTCTCACACGTATGTGCAGAGTAGGCCCTCACAGAGTAGAGAGTACAGTGTTACCCGAGGCTGGGAAGGGCAGCGGGGAGAGGGGGTAGGGAGGTGCTGATCAACTGATACAAATCCTTCTTTTAGAGAAATGTTTGCTATAAGAGAGAGAGAGAGAGACGGACAGAGAGACAGAAAGCAAGAAATCACTCCCCAGGGGTGGCCACATCCCTTCTGCATTCTCCTCTGAGGAGTTTTGGGTGTGCATACACATGTGCGTGCGCGCGCCTACTGTGAGTTTTTTTTCTAATCAATATTTTATTCAACTTTACTTGATTTATTTTCATTTGACCAGAGAGGGACAAAGAGAGAGAGAGAAAGCAAGAAAGCAAGCACCAAGTCCAGGACTTGAACTATAGGCAGCCATGTGGGAGTCCAGAGCCCTCAACCTGTGCCACCTGCCAGCCCCACCACCTGGTGTGAGTTTTAAGGTGCCGGGTCCGGGACCTGAACCACAGACAGCCGTGCGTGAGAGGAGTCAAGTGAAGCAACCGTTACGCCACCTGCTGATTCTATGAATATTTCTCCTCCTCCTCTTCCTTCTCCTCCTCTCTGTCTCCCTGTCCACCCTCTCCCCCTCCTCTGGCTTCCCTTCTCTTTTCTCTTCTCTGCTCTCTCTCTCTCCTCTCCTTTCTCTCTCTGTCCTCTCCTTCCTTGTCTCTGTTCCTCCTCTTCCTCTACTTCTTGTTTGCTCTAGGGCACAAGTGCTTCACAGAGAGAGACAAGAGAGAGAGAGGGAGAGTAAGAAATCACCCCCCAGGGGGTTTTCATGGCGTAATCCCTTCTCCTTTACCCTCCTTTCGGGATGTGAGACATGCATGCACACACACCTGGAATGTTTGTCACGTCACAAGGTCTGGGGCTCAAACCGTCCAGTCACCCATGTGGCATCCAGGGTCTTAACCGCCACAGCACGGGCCGGACCGGGATCTTTGTATCTTTATACAATACGTACATTTAATTCATGTCTTTATATAATAAAGATATTGAGAATCAGACAGGCGCAGGGTAAAATGCGATGCTCGGCAAGGAGGACCCGCATCGGAAGGTTCTGGGTTCATATTCACATACTTCCCTGAGTACACCGGGCATGTGTGCGCCCACCATCCAGGACGGGTGGAGCTTAGGTTAGGTCACAGTATCAGGACCCTTTGAGGGGTGTTAAGGAAGAAACGAATAAACTTCAAAATATGTTATGGGGTTGGCAGGTGGCGTGGTGGGTAGTGTCCTGGACTCCCACATGGTCTACTATGGTTCGAGTCCCAGACCTGGGGGCTTGCTTTCTTGCGTACTGTTCCTCTCTCTATCTGTCTCTGTCTCTTTCTGGTGAGCACATGTATCCTATAGTAAATTTACAATAATAATGAAAATAGTAAATCAAATGAAATAATCTCTAAAAATATGTCTTATATAATGATTCACAGTTTATGCTGGGAGGATTATATTTGTATATAAGGTATACATACATACCCACCTGTGGGCGGAGTTTCAAGATTGTTCCTCCAGGAGCACGCACTTAAAGAAACATTCTGGAATTGTTTATCCTATTGTAATTTTGCTCCCACACCCACAGGGAACACTTGGCAACCTCAGAGACATTTTTGGTTATCAAGGCTGGGGGGAGGGGTGCCACTGACGTCTAGAGGTGGAGACCAGGTATGCCCCTACAATTCTTTTTTTTTTATTTTTTTTTATTTTATTTTATTTTTTTTGGAGAGGTTTTCGCTATAGGGCGCGTGCGCTCGCCAGACAGACAGAGAGAGACATAGAGACAGAAAGCGAGAAATCACCCCCCAGAGGGGATGGTCACGCCGCAATCCCTTCTCCTCCATTCTCCTCTCGGGATCTTGGGCACGCACGCACACGCGCCCAGCGTGAGATTTAAGCCACCGGGTCCGAGACGCGAACCACGGTCGACTACGTGGGAGTCCAGCGACATAGCCATTACGCTAACTGCTGGTTCCCGGCCCCTACAATTCTGTTAGCACAGGACACCCCCCCATCACCTCCCAAAGAAGTATCCCACCCAAAATGTTCATACCCTGTCCAGAAATCCTGTCCAAAAGTAGCGTAGTCTCTCTCGGTCCTGGACTGTTTTTTTTTTGTTTGTTTTAATGATTAATTCATTTTACTTATTATTATTGTTGTTTAAAGAATTGTTTCACTACATTTCATTCATTGTCAATATTTTATTTTATTTTTTAAAGTTGATCAGAGAAAAAGAAGGAAAAGCGAGGAAGCAAGCTGCCAGGTCTGGGACTTGAACCACAGTCAGCCGTGTGGGAGTCCAGCCGCCTTAACCACCACGCCACCTGCCAGCCCCTTTATTTATAATTATTATTATTATTATTTAATTCAATGAGAGATTAAGAGAGGAGGGGAAGTGAGAAAGCAAACTGCTAGTTCCGGGACTTGAACAAAAATCGACCATGTGGGAGTCCAGCACCTTAACCAATCGACCATGTGGGAGTCCAGCACCTGCCTCGGGGGCTTTAAACTCTGCTTTCTTCTCCCCAGGGAAGCCCTGGAAGATCAGGAACTTTGTACCAACCGTTCCTTCCTCCAAGAAGTCATCTCTAAGGCCCCCCACCTGGATCGGAGCCCCACTAAGGGCCCCCCAGCTCCCTTGGGCTGGGTTAGAGTTGAGCTAGCTGGTGGGACTCTCCTCACTTGGGTTTGAAATGGTGTGAGGGTTGCCACACTGGACTCCCACATGGTTGACCGCAGTTCGAATCCTGGACCTGGCAGCTTGCGGATCACGCGGGTGTGTGGGTGCGCATGCCCAAAATCCCAAGAGGAGAAGGAATTGATGTAGCCACCTCTTTTAGGGGTGATTTCTCACTTTCCCTGTCTCTCTCCGGGGAGCCAGCATATGCACCCTACGGTAAAAACCTTTTAAAAATGCAGTTTTCCTGGAGCCCAGAGAGACAATGTTGCTGATCTCTGAGGGTCCAGGAATCTGTAATTTTCCCACCACAACTCCCCCACACACCTGGTGGGTACCTACTATGTGCACCCTGTAGGTGGCCTTGGGACTAGCTGAGTGTCACCTAAGGCGCCCCCACAGTTTCCGGATGCGGGCACTAAGATCGTGCCCATTTCACGGAGGAGGACACTGAGGTTCGGAGAGGTGCCGGTGGCCAGGTCCGAGACTCGGAGCTGGAAAAGGCCCCAGGGCCTAAGCAGCGGCGGATTCCCGGAGGAGGACGATGGGGGAGGGCGAGCGAAAGGGGAAGCGCGCCCGGGGTGGGGCAACCGCGGGAAGTCGCCGTGGCTCTGCGATGCGGCCCCGCCCCCACGAGGGACGTGAAGACGCGGACCCCGCGCAGCGTGGGGACATGTGACCGACTGCAGAGGCCGCGCCGCCCCCCGCGCTCGGTCCCCCCCGGATCGAAAGCGAAACGGGGGCCGGGGAGGAAGGGCGGAGCCGCCCGAGGCGCCGCCCCCTGCCCTGCGCGGCCGCTGGACCGACGGGCGCGCCCAGGCAGGAGGCGGCTGAGCCGCGCAGTGCGGACCCTCGCGGGGACCTGCGCCGCCACCATGTCTCAGGAAGGAGTGGAGGTAGGGTCTGGCTACGGCTGGCCCGGGGGACCGCGACGGGCGCCGAGGAGGGGCCCGGGGCGCGCAGGAGGCTTCGCAGTTCCCGGGGCGACTCCATCCTAAGCCCAGACCTTCCTCCGGGCTGGTGCGCGTCCCCTCTCGGAAAAGAGTGTGACTCCCCCAGACCCCAGAGCGAAAATGCGGCCTCCGGGAGGAAAAGCGGGGGGCTGCAGGGTCAGGGGTCAAAGGCCAGGGGGTTCCCTGGCCGGCCTCCCCTGTCGCCCGGGACGCTGGTCCTACTCCGCGCCCTCCCCCAATGCCCTGTGGGACTTTGGCTTTTTCCTGGAAATGCCCTGCAGGGATGGAAGGGGGGAGAGCTGAGGCCAAAACCCAGGGTCAAGTTCAGGCCGGAAGAAGGATGCCTGGAGGTGGGGGAGGGGCGGGCCCGCCTGCCCTTCCTGCACTGGGTCCCCCTGGTCCCCTCCCCAGCTGGAGGAGAGCGTCCGGCGGCTCCGGGAGGAGGTT